GAGAAAGAAGTACACGAGGAAATGTTTGGAGGAGATTTTTAGAGCAGATGAACTTGCTTCTTCTAACTTAAGTGGCAACGCGGGCAAAGACAAGCTTGATGAATACAAGGCTGGACTCGTCAAACGTGAGTATTGACAAATCAACATAATTATATCGACCCTGTTTATGAAAAGGGACTCGGAGAAAGCCATTCTAATAAGACCACTGTTATACATCGGATGAACGAAGTCGATAAAATGCTTTGTTTGGTATGTATACCTATTCAAAAGCATTTAAAGGCAGAAAAATGGAAAAAAGAAACATTCTGTTTCCTCACTAAGACTAATTTGTTCAGGTTTTCTACGACGTGTTTATGATCTGAAAAATAATTCGTCGTTAAGGTTGGATTTTGATATGCAGCATTCACACAAAGCTTAGAAACAATGACAAATTTCCAAGGGGAAATGCTACTACAACTATACGCATACAAAAGATATTGTGAAAATCATTCAACAGAAGTATTTATCCCAGTTGACAGAATTTATGGAATGAGTACAAAGTAACAAAGAGTGTATTATTTTTTTGTTGTTGCAGGATTAGTACTTCATGCATTTCCCCCAATTCCGGGTGTGGAAATTAGTGACGATATGGCTAGGGAGATAAACAACACAATAAATCTTAAATGCAGCGAAAGTCTGAGGGAATCGAAGAAGCCTCAGAAACATTTGAAGCAAACAACCTCCGACAATAACACATCTCAATAATTTCCTGATGGGCCTGTTTTTGTTTTCGGCGAACTGATATTAAGTGGTTTTAAGCCGTTCAGTATTGCAAAGGACGAACAAAGCAAAAGGCTACACTAAAGAGCTTTCTATAAGATGAAGGGAATGTTGGAACTGTATGTACACTTTGTTTTTTGAAAAGTAGTATCCAAAGTTCACGTTTTTAAAAGATTCAAATCTTTTAGTAATCCTCCCTCAACACTTTAGTCAGTGCGTGGCAAAGCAAACAAACATCAGCGGGGGAATCTTTGTAGCTTGTTATTAATAATAACATTTTGTATCATGTTAGAAAGCCACTATTGCGAAAGTGAAGCATGCATGTTGAAATACTTCAATGCTCACATTCATTCTTCTGATGCTGATGTTCGAGTCAAAGCCAGAGCAGAGTATTTAAAGGCTCAACTGTTGACACAGCTCATGTGGTCAAGCAGTACTGCTAAGCAGTATTTAAGGTATAACGAGACATTAAATGTCACTTTGCCAAAGAAGTACGAGAAAGGGACACTCGTGCACATTTCAGACAATCTCTTTGAGTGCATCCTTNTCTATAAGATGAAGGGAATGTTGGAACTGTATGTACACTTTGTTTTTTGAAAAGTAGTATCCAAAGTTCACGTTTTTAAAAGATTCAAATCTTTTAGTAATCCTCCCTCAACACTTTAGTCAGTGCGTGGCAAAGCAAACAAACATCAGCGGGGGAATCTTTGTAGCTTGTTATTAATAATAACATTTTGTATCATGTTAGAAAGCCACTATTGCGAAAGTGAAGCATGCATGTTGAAATACTTCAATGCTCACATTCATTCTTCTGATGCTGATGTTCGAGTCAAAGCCAGAGCAGAGTATTTAAAGGCTCAACTGTTGACACAGCTCATGTGGTCAAGCAGTACTGCTAAGCAGTATTTAAGGTATAACGAGACATTAAATGTCACTTTGCCAAAGAAGTACGAGAAAGGGACACTCGTGCACATTTCAGACAATCTCTTTGAGTGCATCCTTGACTTATAGCAACAGAGAGTTAATCTCTTTAACAGCAAAATGATGGCCGTGCATCAAGAAAACCTAGTTGAAAATGGACTGGCGACTATTTTTGCAAATAGCCAGCTCTTGGAAAAGTGGAAAGTAATGTTTTCTGCCACTGACTGTTTAGGTCCTGCAGCTGATGTAGATAACCTGGTGGTTAAACTATTTAAGGACGTTGTTACTCGTTATGTGAAGATGGGAATTGGAGAGTTCATGCGTGACTTTCGTAGAGACTTTCAACTTCACAAGACTGAAGCACACCACAAGAAGGTGGCTGAAAGAAAGAAGAAAGATTTAGTTTCAAGTAAGGTGACAATAGCATCCATCAAGGAAGACTCTTCAGCCAGCAAGCAGACTTCCCATCAACGTCTGCAAGCAATGCTGGTGCAGCAAGAAAAAATTTTCCAAAGCACAGTTTACACAAAGAGTGAGGTGGAAATGATATGCAAGGCATATGGTGTTTCTTTTAGGCAGTCTGACACTAAGGCAAAACTGTCAGAAAAACTTGTGGAAAAAATTCAAGCGTCAGAACATATACTGCATCCAGATACCTTGGATGACTCAGCACAGGGACATCAACCAGGACCCTCTGCAAGAGCTGCAACTGCCAGGAACCCAACCCACAAGGGTATCCTTCAACAACCTTACAAGGTGTATGAAACTGTTTATTACAGTTACCAGTAAACGTCTTAAAATAATCTTGTTTAAGAAGCTTGTATAGTCAAAGTACACGGAATAATAATTGTCCTGGTTGTTACTGAATTGAATCGCTCTCTGATTTTTTGTCATACACAGGTGAACAGAGAAAACAGTGGCCAACAGTAGTTTTGTGGTAAAGGCATTGAAGCTTTTTTCCTATAGTTTTCTTTTCTGGCACAGTTCTATAAAACCCTAAAGTGGCTCTTTTCAGACTGTTAGATTATCCCTCTAATTTTCTTCTTTTTTTTTTTTTTTAAAAAAAGTGTTTTGAATTGGAAATTACCATTGGCTAACAGTGGCTTTGTTTTAAATCAACTACTAGTAAATAATATTACTGTTGTTGATGTTGTGTTGAAGGGACAAGTTGACAACAGATTAGTAGTTGGTAACTTATGACCACATTCCATACATCCCTTCAATTAAGTATTTGCAAACCTCTTCACTGATTATTGTGTTTTTTATTGAACAATGTACAAGGAATACATTTAAATTACAGCAGTGAATATTGTTTAAAGAGGTTGCAACAGCTTCACAAAATGGCACTTCTCCATCATAAGTGAACATTCCTGCCCTAAATACTTACTCCTTTGCTTGTAATACTGCTTTTGAAATTATTTTTGCATTGATGTTTCCTGATTGTATTATTTACACAAAATTACACATTTTTTACAGTTTCTGTCAGTAATGTAACCATCCTGCCTCCCTTGCCTGTGGCTACTGTGACAACCATCACAGTCCAAAGTGACTTCTGTACTATTGCAGGGTAAGTACAAAGCTGTGCATCTGTATGTTATGTATATATTTTTTTCAATTTTGTAGCTATTTCCATTTCCCAGAGACATGAAAGAAAATCTTCAATGGTTCAGCTACGTTTATTGTGGAACCCTTACTGCATTTATGTCTGATATATTCCTCTGCTATTCAATAAGAAAATAATTCTATTATCCAAATTGCACTCTTTCAAATGTCTTACAAACTGCTTTATATGAATTTCTCTCACAGGAACCAACAATCCTACCGGGGAAAGTGCGTCATATGCACCAAGTAGAAAGCAGTTAAAACCAACAAGAGAAGAAGACATTTTGCGAAATGACCAACTGGCAAATGAAGCCATATCCAAAGAATATGAACGCGCTGTTCAGTCAAACACAACTTTGAAAGCTATAATAACCTGGCATGAAGAACATCAATAGTGACCTAAACTTCAACTTTTTTTGAAGCAACTTAACTTAATGAAAATCTTGAATAGAACAAAGGAAAACTAACATGCAGGTTAGCTAAGTAGTGCTCTATGTTACTCTATGAAAGAGTTCAACGCTCTCATAATTAGGATTTATACTTAGTTTGTAAACGTGGCGAATGAGACACTTGTACCCCCTCATAAAATTTCTCCATTATATATAAAACACTGACTTAATTAACTTTAACCCTTTCACTCCCAGGGGTGGCCACATTCAAAAATTGACAAAAATTCCCAAATTGTGTGCAATGGTGATATAGCAGACCCAGGGAAATCGTGAAAAGGCCATTTTGCATACTTCTTGGAAACCAATTATCACTGACGAAATATCAAATCTAAGCTCGTAGGATAAAAGACATTTTGCTCTCTCAGCCTTACTCAGTTCTTAGTGATCTTCCGCATCATGTTCCCACTTTTGCAGGTAGGTTAACACCTGTTCATTCAACTGATTCAGATAAATTAAAGGCGGCTGGTAAGCTAGATGTCCCGTCATTATCAAGCGTGATCTTGACACATGGCATGGATTTGCAACAACTGTTCATAATTACGACTCAGCTATGTTGATTTACCTTTTGTTATTTCCTCATTTTCTAAGGACAATTTGTTTATCAGAAGACGTTTTCCAAAGATCATTTACTATTCAATTTCTGTCTTAAAGTATTCCTGGAGGCTTAAGTGATCTCCCATCGCTGTCATTTTTTTCTCAGTTCAAAGATGATGGCAATAGGAATTTTTCATGCAAAATTAAAGGTTGAGATACCAAAAATTAAACGAGATATGAGTGAGAGACTGCGTCCAAAACATGTTTATCTGGCAATCTAACTCCCTAAGGATAGACCTAGTGACAGCTTGTTGGTATAAAGTTGTGTTACCTGATATGCCTATTTCTGTCTGGCAAGCATAGCAATGGCAGTGGATCGTGCGGTTCAGGAGTTGAATGAAGAATTCAAACAGAGAGGGGTTAGTAAATTTCCTTAATACAGTTTCGTTAGTTTTGGAGATTTTGAGGATTTTTGCTTTGGTTAACGTAATATGTTTGCCAATTAGTTTCCAGACAGATCCTTTGGGTCTCATTCCAAGATTTACGAAGAAGGAGAATGAAAGTGATGAACAAGCCTGGAAGAGGTGTTTTCGCTGCGGTTTTGATATTTTATGGGTATGTTTCCTTTCTTGTCTCTATTATATCCCATGTAACTTCATGACAAAACCGTATAATTCTGCATTCAACCTTCCATTGCTTCTTGATACATGGTTGTGTGTGCTTTTTGGCGCTCTCACCTGGCATGTGACGTGTTTTGCTTTGCAGCTTGGTATTCGTTTATTGTGCGATTATTTTTGTGCTATTTAGTGCACTGCAAGTGACCATGTACAAGGTATATCTTTTGGTGAACCCTTTGCAATCCTTTGACAATTTTTGACCCTTATACGCACTTGTATGCGAAATGTTGCTGTGATCTTTGAGACAATTTGTTGCACAAGATGCACCACGTTTGAGCGAAGTGGTCATGAGGACATTTTTGTTTTTGGACAGCCCTATCAGAGTTTGACCTTTCTTCAGTTTGCATTTTGTGGATCACCTTTAAATGTCAGTGCCAATACATTATCAAGGTTTTTTTTGTCAAAATTATAAATGTCATAACCATCTGATCTATTTTTTTTTCAATAGTTTGGAAACAAAGTGGGGGAAGGTCAATTTCGAGGAAAGGCTGTGCCCACCTACGTTTATCCAGAGTGCATCAAGTCATCGATAAGCGCTATGATATCGTAAGATTTGAGGCATTTGGGAAATCTCAAAACTTCTGCAGGAAGACTTGTAAAATATTTGAGAACCCCTAACCCACTCCCTATGTAACCCCATTTCCCAATCATTTTAGTATTTTCGCTTTCAGATGAAACATGTAAAATCCTTTTGCAAGTTGTTACTTTGCATACTGCATTTGCTGTCTTTGTTTAAATTCTCATGGCAACCACTTCTGTTTGGAAATTTTCAGGTATACAAGGTCACTACATGTGACCTTCATGGAGCAAAATGCCCAGGAAACAGATGATAAGACAACAGTAACAATTATTCAGATTTTTCGTAACTATAAGAGACATTATTACATTATAAATTTGTTTGGAAAATAATGGAACAGATGAGAATCAATTTTTCAAACATGATTTAGACTCAATGTGATAAAAATGCAGTTGTTGAAAATAGTGTATGAAAATTCTATTTTATGTGGAATATATTTTCAAGCATTAAGTTGGTTTTTCTATTTTATTTAGAAAAATGTCAATTCTGATTGTAGTCTTGTAATTACAATATCTACAATATCAAAACATTAGAGACAATACCTTCCTGATGAAGCTCTGATGCCCACGGTAATTTCTTTTTTGCAAAACTGGAAACTAAAAATGATCCCACTTCTTATTCAAAATGCCTGAAAAGGTTCTGCAAGCCAAAAAAATAAAAATAAAATAAAATACTTTGATCAAAAAGTTAAACACTAAAAGATTTTTAAAATACATTTAAAAAGTGAACGACGTTTTGGCACTTCTTTGAAAAGATGGTCAGTTCTGAGGAAATGTAACAGCAAGTTTGACTTCTTAGTCTACAAGATGTTATATGTAAAGGACATTAAGCCTTCTCTTAACTCACAAGCCAACTCATTTCGCGTTAAACTATTTACGTGACAGTTTCGTACATTTTTTATTCTTTTCTTTTTCTCTTATTGTTTTTTACCTTGGGAATTATACCCACTGGACCCGAAAATATTTTACGTACTGTTTCAATTTTATATATTCGCTTTACACCTTATACTTTTTCACTTTTTAACTTGATAACAGTGTAATGTAGCGCTGAAACGTCATTCACTTTTTAAAAGGTTTTTTAAGAGTATTTTAAAAATCTTTTAGCGTTTAACTTTTTGATCAAATCATTTTCGAAATCTCTTCTGTTATGTAAAATAAAATGAAAACATAAAGCGGACATAAAATACCCAAGATTATAAAAAATTTTGTTGTTGCTAATCAAGCCAAAGAATTTACCATCAAAACCTCACAAATTAAAGAAATCTCTTTTCATGTACAAACAAGTGGCAAGCTGAAAACCTCAACCCAGCTTTTAGGATCACTCCATGTTTAAAGCACCCTAAAATGTTTTTGTGTGCTATTTGCCTCAATTCACAGAGAGGAAGTGATTGTATACCAAACTACAGAGAAGGTTTTGAAACTGGCCAAGGCCACATACCTAGGTCAAAAGGATAGTAAAGACAAAGATGATATTAATGTATTATTATGCTACTTACACCCGTGTGTGGATAATAATTTATTTTAAGTCTAAGTTTTATAATACTATTGAACAATACTTAGTTCAAAAGATTTAAATTTAGACAGTTCATGGACAGAAAGTGCAAGTAATTGTCCTTTATATTTGTGTTGTTTGGTAGATATTTATTAAATAGAACAAATGAATGTCTTGAAAATTCCAAAATACATTGAGTGCTAGATAATATTGATACCCACCCCATGTAGCCAAGGGCTGGGGTTTTTGAAATTCTCTACAGGTATGTTCTCTATAAAGCCATTTTTTTATCTTGTTGGGCACTGACTACTAATTTTACTGTATTCAACAATCATATTTCTCATGCTATTTTTGGTGAACCAGGCATTTGTTGCGTTGTCCTGCAAGGATCAATACTAATTGCATGCTTGTCTCTAACTTTCAGGTCTTATTTAAAATGACTGAAAGTGGAAGTGAGAAGCTGATACAAAGGGAGGATCTAAACTTTGCCCTGAAATTTAAGGACTTTACTTTTGCGAAATTCAGACACATGTCCATTCTCTCAGGATGTGATTATGCTTCGTCTTTCAGAGGGATTGGACTACAACGTGCAATAACTGTTTCGGAGGCAGCTGACAATAAAGGCACACAATAGGCCATAACTAAGAGAAATCCTCCACAAGCCTTCCCTTGTTATCCCTGAAGGATATTATGAGATGTTCTAAAAGGCAGACGAAACCTTCCAGCATGAACCAGTGTTCAACCCTGATTCCAAAAGAGTGGTTCCAGTTAATGGAGATGTCACCAATGAGTTTTCTTTAACCAACTTTCCGTATCCTTTATTATAACCCAAAGGGGTTTCTACCTTGAGATCTAATCAGTGTGTACCCATTCTTACAGATTAACTTTTCCAAAAAAGATGATTGTAAATCACTTGATAAACGGCAGAATTATCTTGATAATCTTACTGATTAACTTTTCCAAAAAGAATCATTGTAAATCACTTGATAAACGGCAAAAATCAGGGAAAATCGAAGAGACTACGCGCACAAAAGTGAAAAAATCAGTCCGCCATCTACAATAGCGCGATTGGACAAAATTGGTCACACGGACCGTGTCCAACACCGCCTAATTAAGATGATTATAAAAACATGTCTGAAGAAACCAAAGAAGAAGAGGAGAACACGTCTGAAGGTGAATCAAGTGAAACTAGTGAAGATGGATACATTGAGCAGAGTTTTGAAGTGATGTTCATTTCTGACAAAGATACACCTAATTGCAATAAGGTTGTCATAGAAAAAAGCAAAAAGTTAAATAGGAATTAATTAGCATGTAATTATCAAAGCTTGCAACATTTACAACACACACGCTTATAGCTGAATATTAATCACATAATAGGAGAGAAATCATTTGCATCAGTTTCTTGGTGTCATTCTAATGCAATTCGAGGCTGATTCATCTAGCAAATTTCAAACGTGCTTGAATTACAAAGCACATTGGATAACTACCAAAGAAATAATGGCTCCATTTTTTTTCAATAAATATAGCCTGGGGTAAATTCCAGGAACTCAACGCATGTTTTGGATTAGTGGTAAGTAGAAAAGCCAGTCTGCGTATGGTTTGCAGTGCACAACACCATCTGATCACAATTTTCAAGCAACAAATCAGGGGCGTAGGCAGGACTTTTCATCGCGGAGAGAGTAAGGGGGTCCTCCGCCGGTTCCTCACCTGAGGAAACCGCAAACCAAGCTTCCTTTGTCAGGATATAATAGATTGGCGACTGAAAGTGCAACAACTGAGACATAACATTGCTGGCGTCAATTTACCTTTTTCTTTTTCGAACTGTGCAACTTCTGTTGATGAAGAATGTTGGCTCTAAATAACAATGGCGCCCGTCTATCTTACAGCGCAGAATTACAGAATTATCGCTTGTTATTGTGAATGAATTCTTAAATAATTGTTAAATACTGAATTAAATAGAGGATATTACACCGTGGTGCGAAGATATGAATTTTATTTTCGAGTGGCAAAACAATATTTTATGAACGAGCGCAGCGAGTGAGTAAAATATTGCTTTTGCCATGAGAAAATAAAATTCATATCTTCAAGCTGCCGTGTAATGTTCTTTTTATTATATAGACAAAAAGACATTGATAAAATAATAGAGGGAAATGACCAAAAGTACGTCATCGATAAACTCATGTGGGAGATTATGGAAAATAAACCACTCGGGTCCCAGATGTAGTTTTTATGAATTTTACGAGTGGTATGTTTTCCAGTAAAACACTCGTGTCTGTATAGTAAAATACGCAAATGTAAATCACATGGCTAATTTATTCCTATTTGGCTCTTTGCTTTTTTCTATGACAACGTTATTGCAATTAGGTGCTTCAGTCAAGTAATACGTAAACATCATTTAAAATTTGCTATGCCATCAAGTTCCTCCCACAAGATCAGAAGTCTTAAAAGGGGGGAATAAAAGTTAGTTTACATCTAGTACAGGGAGGGGAGCGTAACTTCTCTTAAAGGCCTACTTTGCTAATTTCAGAACCCCCTTCATATAATCATCCAGGGGGAACTCGTCTGAAAAGAGGAAAAAAAATACTAGAAGAACTTCAACAGAAAGCATGTGAACTCTCTACAATCCTTGGCAGTGAAGTTACCACGAAAACAAGCTCTAATCCACTCAATCAAGCTGGTTCCTCTGAAGTTCTAGCTCTTCCAGCCGCTCCTACATGCCAAGCTTTCAAAGGCAATTTACCACTTCTGAACCCCACCCAAGGAAAAGGACCTTTCATGACAGATGTGATATTGCTAACTGGTCCAGATATTAACAGCATCCCAAGGCAGGGGAAGAGAGTGTGGCCGGCAGAGTTCTGCCTGCTTAAGTACCACATGCAGACCTTTGTATCAAATGCAAAGAATGCAAGTTCAACAGAAATTTGTTTATCAACTCTCCTTGGTAACTCAGCTTACACGAAACACATGCCAGCCATTGTACAGATTGCAGAGGTAGCCCTTTCAATGCCTCTAAGTAATGCATGGCCAGGCGGGGTGCAAGTACTGTGAAAAGAATACAGACACGACTTTGGGACTCTATGGAAAACAGAATGCTCAATTTATTGATGCATATCAGCATCAATGGTCCTGACTTCCACACTCCTGATGCAAACCATGTCATTACAATGGCTGTGAAAAAGTGGCAAACCACAAAAGAAAGAAGAAAGGTCACATGGAGTGTACAGAAAGCAATTCCAAAAACCTGTGATGTGGGTTGCCACGCAGCCATTCAAAACTGTCAAATTCTGCAACTAGAAGTTGGAACATCCATGCTAGCCTGCACTGCAGGTGTATTTTGGGTGGGCAAAAGCTTGTTAATCAGATCGCTACAATGAAGCCGCCATCTTTGATTTTATGACAGAGGAAGATTGGGGAGAGTAGAAATGGTAACCCTTAGCATAGGTGTGAGGGGCAAAAAAAGGAGAGGGGGAGGGGAGGGGAGA